ACTTTATTCGCACGTTTTCTGATCACTGATCGTTAGGTTAGTAGGATTAGATGTTTGATGTCTGGTTCAAGTGCAAGTAATTTATTGGTTTTAATATGATTAAACACAGCAGTACACCAGATTACGCTGCAAAACAACATATTTGTTTGTCATAGATACAATAAAGCAGTATGTGTGAACACCAGGATATTTGTATGAACACTAGAGGGTTATAAACTTTCATTGTCAAACCTGTTTGGATATTGAAATGCACACGAAAGCATACATATACGTCAGATGGTGTATCTAAAGGAATATACTCACCGTTAAACTTGTTTACTGATGCCATAACAACAATATTTTAGCGGACAATTAGCAACTACGCAAGTAATGATCTGTAAATGGTCGTTGGCACACTAACTGGTAAAATATTTGTAAGGATCATTAAGTAACACTCATTGCAAAGTGGTGTTCGCAACGACAAGGATGAATGGTTTGTGATACTGATTGGCAAGCTAGCGTTCCGTTGGCCAGTGCTTTGGATCATTGTGTACAAAATATTAGCAACTATGGCACAACGTGATATGCAACAAATAATAGAAAGTTATACTTGATAAAAAACAGCACTTACCAATGCCATAAATTTTATACAGTGGCTATTTACTCTAAACCTTATCAAAATAGATAGTCATCTTATCAAAATAGGTAGTCAAGCATACACACCGTAATAATTAAGACAGATTGAATAGGGGTGAGTATTTTTGCTGAACGGTTTATAAACAATTCTGTGCTACGAAGCAGGGTTGGAGGTTAACAAGTGTTTACACTTCTGATGCATGAGGAATAATCATGAGGCATTATAAGCAAATATTCACTGTGATCATCCTCACTGCTTGTTTTCTATTCTCTAAAAAAACAAAAATATTTTACCCTGTTTGATGACCAGCGGATTGCTTGTAACCTGCTACAAGAACAGGCAACAGTCGTCTTTTAAGGCGATAACACATGAGCTCTCCAGCATTTCGAACCATCGTGATGGAAATGATGATACAGATATTTTTGCAATAGAGATAAAGAAGGAGGTGAGAGCAGAGCTGGGTAAGCACAACGTAAAATACGTATCCTTCAGGAACATCAGCAACATATACTTCATTGATAACAGAACAAGCTTGGATGCTAAAACTATTGCACATAAATTGATGAACAGGAACATAAACCATACACACAAGATTTTGGCTTTGGATCTGTTTGTTGAATACAATGCAGCAGCTTTGAATGCTATAACAGGGTACCTTGATGAAAAGATAGAGGGGCTGGATGTCAGCATGAGAACGTTCAAAATAGCCTTCAAACAGCGGTGTTCGAACTTATGTGTTAAGGAAATATTGTTTGATATGATTCTGTGCCGGATGAAACGGTTTGGAGTAGATTTAACACGGCCTGACATCACGATACATGTACAAGTTATAAAGAACAGTATTGGTGTATGTTTAGGCACGCTTAGCAGTTGATCACATGCTTCTGTTTTGTGGTTGTTAATACCTGTTCCATTAATAATGCATGGTGTTGGTTTATAATCGAAAGATACAAGATGGTTAACATTGATTAATAATGGAAGCGACTGTCAGTCTTTGTTGAACAGGTACAAAGCTAGTGGTTGTATGCGCTGTTATCTTATGTGATAGTTCGAATGCTATACAACACCGTGACAAGCCTTTCCGATTTTATTATAGCCTAGTTGGACAGAAGAATGTAGAGCCAATGTTTCGTTACAAATACTCTAGAGTAGAAGTTGTATTGCATTTAGTTCATATTTGAACACGAAAATAGCTTGCTGTGATATAAACAGTACCACGGTGTTAACATCTTATTGCTGATGAGATGGTAAAATTTTGATGGTTGAAAATGCTTTTGCCATCCCGTGCAGTTATAAGTTATTGAATGGTAAAGTCGACTCTTATGAACTGGAATCTCTGCATACGTGTAACAGCATCTTCTTGTTGATATGTCACATGGATTTGATTATTGATAGAGGATCAGTTTCTGCGAAGGAATAAAATTATAATGATGTTATACATAGTCGTACCAGGTACTATCACTAGCAATGTTAGATTGTTATTTACATGACATATCCATTGTGACGCGTTTATTCAAATATGGTAGCTAGTGAACGAATAAAGGTCATATGTTGCAGTATCAGGCAATGATTGTATCCTTGTCAAAGAGAGATAAACAATGGTTGCTTGAATAAGGTGTTGTGCGTTAAAGCATCAACATGAGTGGGTTAGACTAGCATAGAGAATGCATGATAACTGCTGGCAGGAGGATATGTTGCTGGTAGATATAGTGACACCAAAGAATGCTAAAGATGAGAGAAAATAAGAATATATAGATTGAGATAACGATTTTGATACGTAGACGCCGTTCCAAACAGCTGTGTGCGCTGCAAACCAGGATCAAGAGAACAGATAAACAAATTATTCAACGTGTTTGGTGCTGTGGTATTTTGGACCGATGTGTGTGTAAGAAAGTGGTGCATAAAGAAGACAATGGCTGTTACTGAGCTGGTAATATATCACAAAAGAATCTTTCAAATGGGTCATGACAGCCATGGCTAAGATTGTTGAACAACATGATGCCTCATCCATGAATAAACGGTCATCCGGAAGCATAAATAAGAGGGTACCGTAATGTTTGTTGGAACCATATTGGAATGATGGGTGTTATGTAGGCGATGGCTAACAGCAAGCAATACTTTGTATCGCATCGATTTGGCAGGCATGGCATGATTCATCGATTTCACAACAGAGAAAAAGAATGTAGAAACATGAATTGATAGTTAAGTACCGAATTGTAATGATAGAAGAGGTCGAATAAGATAAATTCACTCGAGCAGAGCACTCGTACAATTCCAGTCAAATAGAAGTCTAGACAATTAATTAGCGAACATGAAGTTTGACTGACTCAAAATTATTGTTACGTTGTGTGGATGCTCGAATGAAAGGCGAACTAAAATCCTATCCAAAAGAAACAGGACGATACAGGTTGTGTCCATTTGATGCTTTTTATGTCACAGGAGACATCAACAACACTGGTTGGGCATTTGTTAGCGAAAAGAATACATCAGCATATGCACAAAATAACCATAAATAGGTCTGTCTTATATCTCGCGGTGTCTATGGTAGGATTTGTATGTTTATGAGATTTCAAT